ATCAAGACCCACTCTTGGATTTCTGATATAGGGAAATGGGTAGATAAGTCTGGGATGAGCCAGCAGTGAGCATGTCTGGTCTTGGATGAGGTGGAAGAAGACATGTATGGGGTGCGTGTGGCTCTCACTTCTTAGCCCTGGCTGGCTCTGGGCCGCATCCATTAGCAGGGCAGGGCAGGCAGAAGGGGTGGAACTGAATAGAAAACACAATAGGCCAATGGCTGGAAAATCTTGGCTCAGACAGAAGTGCCTGTGGCGCCCTGGATAACTCACTTCACCATCTAGGCTCAAACTCTCACCCATGTCAATGGGGTGTTTTAGGGAACAAAAGCGACTCGAAATATCAGTTTACAGAGAACATGTACTAAGTCTGAAACAGGAAGAGACAAGATAAAGAAACATCACCCAGATGAGGAAGACCATTAGCATGAGGTCGAAATGGCATCCAAGGTTTGCAGAGATTCTGAAACTTAAAATGGCTATGGGCAGGCAAAGGAAAGTGTCACAAGAACAGGATGGGCAGCAGATAAATACATCACAGTTACGAGTGGTCCCACAGCGGTGGGAATGGGACCCTAGCACATGCTAGACAGAACTTACAAGGTTAGGACATGTGCCCCATGACTATTGTGATAGTTACATAATTGCATGTCAACTTGTTAAATAGGCTATAGGGGTGGCATTTAGCCTATCAATCAGGTCACAGCCTGATTGATGCATCCTGTGGGTGTGGCCTTCTCATGAGGATTCTGGGAGTTTTCCTCTCTTCCTCCCTGGAGATGGGAGACTCTCTCTGCTACACAGTTCTGTTGACAAGCCACATGGAGTTATGCTGATGACAGTCAGGGCCCTGGGGCTGGAGGATCCACGTGGAGACCCATGCCAGCCCTGAGATGCTTCTACCACCACTGGATCCACAAGACTTTCCACCCACTGGCCTGTGATCTTCCTGCATTCGGCATCCATCATTGCATGTGTTGTGTGAGTCTGAAGAGGGATTTATAGACTGGTATCGGACATATGGGCTAATATTAGATTTATGGACTTGATCTGGACTGGGCTGGGATGTTTTCTTAGTATACAATTACTCCTTGATATAAAGCTCTTTCATTTACATATATGATTCTCCTTGGATTTGTTTCTCTAGTCTACCCAGACTAACACAAGTAAGCAACCCTGGCACCCCAATTTCCATTAAGGGTGTTCTCAGGCAAGTCCCTAGGGGCTATACTGCTTCTCCCTGGACTGGCTAGGGGAGTGGCAGTAATCCACTCTCCAGTACATTCTGCCAGGGGACAATGCTATTTACTCTGTTGGTTAGTGTGCAGAAGGAATTCAATGGAAGCTAAACTTATGTGGAGACTTACAAATGGATTTAGGGCGCCCACTGTACATCGTAGCCTGTTACTAACAGATTCCTGTGTAGAGCTTTCTCAGCCCGGGTATGAATTGGGTTCATATCACTGTTGCTACAAATTACAAACCTAACATTTCAGAAAACAGATTCATCTCCCTGTTGTTCTGGAGGTCTGTCTGAGTGGTTCGGTGCTGCTGTAACAGAAATACGCAAGTGGGCAGCTGTCACACGCCAAGGTGTTGGAGGCTGGAGGTCCCGATGTGGACCCTGGTCTGGAGGAGAAGGTTTTCTCTGTCCGGGCTGGGGAAACCTTCGTCTCTTTTATTCTCAGCCTCTAGTTCTTGGTGATGTCCCCATCAAGCTCTCTTGCCTTGTTTCTGGGCCTAATCTGCATTTTGTGTATCTCTAAAGTGACCGGCTTCCAGCCCTACACTGGCAGGGCCTCATTCAAACAGGAGGCCCTCTTCCCAAATGGCACTGCATCCACTAAGCTAGGAGTCGGGCTGTCCAACACCTATTTATAAAGAGACACAGCTTAACGCATAACAAAGTCAGAAGACTAAAATGTGTTGGCAGGGTAGATTTCCCTCTGGAGGCTGTCAGAGAGCAGCTGTTTCCCCATCTTATCTAACTTCTCCTGAGGCTTCTTATGTTCCTTGGCTCTGGGTCCCATCCTTTGATGCAACCCTGGCACCCCAATTTCTATTAAAGGCATTCTCAGGCTAGTCCCTAAGG